GGAAGAGTATGCAGTCAATAACTCGAGTCAACACACTTCTCCAGTATGCTTTTTCAGCTGCCATGGTTCTCTGCAGTTCACTATCAATAGTCTTACCTAGGCGTAAGCGAGATATCATTTCTTTCCACATCAGATAAGCATTTATGTGAGAACTACTGGTTTCATGGTGCTTCAGTGTTTTTGAAAGACATCGCCAGTTACTGTACCCTGCCACAAGGCATGTATCAGAAACTTTAGCTTCACCAAAAAGCTTACACGCAAAACAATAGACTCTGCTGGTATTTTTGGAATACAGTAACCAATCTCGTTCAACTTTCTCTCCACTAGACAGTATACGAAAACAGTACGCTTTGGAAAAACACCTCTTATTCTTCTCTGATCTTGGATATGGACCATCAGAAACTTTCTGTGGGCCATTTTCAACCATGTACTGCCTAAATGTGTCCCCCATTTTGTGTGGTAAAGGCCATTCGGATGGATCTTCTGAATAAAGCCTTGCCTCAGCCCTCTCCTCTGCAGCTCTGTACTTCTCTCCCTCTACATCATCATCTGGACCTCTCTGCTCCTCTCCCTCTTCATCATCTGGACCTCTCTGCTCCTCTCTCTCTTCATCATCTGGTCCTCTCTGCTCCTCTCCCTCTTCATCATCTGGTCCTCTCTGCTTTGTGATGATTAACTCACCATGTCTGCCTGAACTAATTTTCCCAAAAAAGAAGACAATGAAATATGGTCATCAGAAATTAAAACCATCATGGTATATAGGTTTTTGTTGCCTCCCTAATGTAATTATTCCTACCTGATGTCATCACTTGTCTCCTCTATCACTGACCTCGTGTCTGTCTCCTTCACCTTTTGTCTGTGGCATTCTGCACTAAGTCATAAGGTCAAAAAAGCATTATATATTAGTTGTAAAAATGACAGATCTTAATACAGTTTTTAAAAATAATGTTTACACGTTATTGCTTGGGATTAAGTAACTGTTCCCTCACTTCCACCTGCATTAGACCAACCTGTTGCCTTCCCCAGTCTGTCCTGATTCTTCCTCTGTCATCTTCTCTTCCTTCTCTCCATCCTCACAGCTGAATGACATTAATTTTGTGTCAAGTAGGTTTAAAAATACAGCAGTCAAACCACAATAGAAATGAAACTTGAATTTAAATGATCTCCTTGTTGGATAACAGTTACTGACTGGACATTTCATCTGAGCTGACTCACCAGATACATCACAACACACACCACTGTAGTGATACTGAATAAGACATTTAAACTCAAGTGTCCCTCTGCCAAAAAGGTTGGAAACATGGGTCACCAACCTTTTTGAGCTATAGTGACACTGAGGACTAATTTATCTGATACACACATAAACTTGTACAACTCATCTTTAATTAAAGAATCAATAATAATAAATGTACATATGAGTGAATAAATTGCAGCACTGAGGGCTAAGCGTTGGATCATAGCTGGGAACTGCCGCCACAACAGTTTAGCTTTCCTGTGTTAATATTTCATGAGTTTTATTTTGGTCATTCTTACACTTAGTGTGTGGATATGTGTGTGTGACAGGCGAGGCGCATGTATCAAATATTCATAAAAATACAGAAAATACTAAACAAATCACATCAATAGGGGAGGCAACATTTAACAGCCAACCGCAGTGTATTAGGCTAGCTTTAGCTAACCTGAATATTTAAACCCTCCTGTCCTGCTAATACACTGACAGTACTTACCTACTATCTTTCAACCACATTGAAAGGCTTTTTTTCATCCCGCCAACATCTTTATCCTTCTCCCTTTTCCTTTTTCTGTTTTGCGCCCCGGATAGCTTTTTTTTCTGCCGCTCCATCTTGTTGTCAAGTGCACAACGAGCGGTAGTTCAAGATTAAAAAAAAAAAAAAAAAAACGCGCCGAGTGCGTTCTCTTAGGGGCGTGTTCACAGCCACCTGTGTGGGAAGGGAGAGCGATAGGAGGGGAGGTGAAGGAGCAGAGGGGAGGTGAAGCAGCAGAGGGGAGGTGAAGGAGCAGAGGGGAGGTGAAGGAGCAGAGGGGAGGTGAAGGAGCAGAGGGGCGCCTAATCAGTGCTGTTCCCCTGTTATTGATCATTTAGAAAATGCCTACTAGAAAAACATTTTTTCTACAGAGGGTTTTGACGCCCCCTGCAGTGCAGCGCCCCTATGCGTTGCATACGCTGCATACCCGCTTTTTGCGCCACTGTGCATACATATGTATATGTACACACATATACATATGTATATGTATATACATATACATATGTATATGTACGTACATACGTACATGCATACATATGTATATGTACGTACATGCATACATATGTATGTATGTACAGTACTGTAAAATTTTACTCACCGGCTCTGCAGAACAGCAGCTTGGTTCTGCTCTGACTCGGTTCCGGTTCGGCAGACCTACCCTGCACTCACAAAGCCCACAACCTCATCTAGGTTGATGTGTGCGTGGATAATTGAGCTTCAGTATTATTTGCGAGTTTCCTGCCAGTTCAGTCAGCTTAATAGTTAGCGTAGATTTGTATTGCAAAATTTTCCCTCCATTTCGGCAGAAAGCAGCGACTGGAAGCACTGTTGGTTTCTGGGTAATGTAGTTCTTTTGACTGGCAATACAGTATATGCTTATTGAAAGAAAACTACTAGAAAGCAGCTGGAAGCATCATTGGCTTCTGGGTGGTGTACTTTTTTTTTGACTAGCCTTATAGTGTAGGCTTATTAGAACACTACAAAATGGCTCCGGTTTTAAGTTTTTTCGTTAACTTTTTATCTTGTATCGTCCTAATCACGTGAGTAATTAAAGTTGACAATCGTTGAAAAAAATGTGAAAGAGCAAGTTCGCAAATGTTGAACCGCAAAGTAGCTAGGGACTACTGTGTTCCTGACAGCATCTAACAGCTGTTAATGGTTCCTTGTGAAGCTACACTTTAAGGCTGAGCTGTTCCTTGTTGGATCATTAAATGTCACACGGTGATTTTTCTTTGTCCGAGTCCTCACATAATTCCTATGTACTGTGAATAAAGATTATTATTTAAACTTTACCTTTGTTCCTCTTTAAACTTGTTCATGTGCTTCTTGGACCTATTGTGGAAAATCCTCAGTATTAATCCTTGCTCACATTCCTCTAAGGTTCTGTCTATCAGCTGTAATTTGCAGATTAAATTATGAGGGCTACGGCATAACCTGCGACTCCAAACCCCAATAACAAGACTGACATGAATGGAGGAATAGTGAACAAACAAGCACAGGGACAGAAATGAGATTAGAATAACGAACATTAGTGAAAGAGCAAAATAAACATGCATGAGAAAATGGAGTGTAGACGTCTAATGACCATTTAAAGGAAGAGTTACATTTGTTCACTTGCTTTCAATAGTGTCGATTCAATTAAAATAAACAGAGATTCTGCTTTGTGATTAAAGCTTAGCCGTTTTGTAAGCCCACTCATCCAGGTAAACAACAAAAAAGGTTAAATTGTGTCGTCTGGACCAGTTTCTTTAAGTGAGAAATGGTTCATCCCCCATCCAGAGAACTTCCTCAGTCTACGGCCTGCCAACCAGATCTTTCTGATAGGTAGCCTTCACGGCTGTGTTTCAAGCCAACCTCCATCTCAGAAGTAGACTTTTAACATGTGCAAAACACACTCCTCCAAAACAAATCAATCATCATACAACAATCAATCATTTTAGGCCAAACAGCCTGAGGACAACCAAGGCCAGAGTGGTTCAGAAAAAGGCTTGTAAGCTCAATCATCCAGGTAGACAACAAAAAAGGTTAAATCTGGCAGGTGTATTTTAATCCACTCTCGATATTGTTTCCACTCCTAAAAAAAGGTACTTTAAAGATCCATCTAATTTCTGAATTCTGTACTTCTGAACAACCTTATTGTCATCTGACTGAAAGGTAGTATAATGCAAGATAGTATTTTTTGCCTCTTGTGGGTCTGTGTTCATTTGTACGTCTGATAGCAAAATACATATTTTACCACTGGACAGATTTGAATGAAACACTAACAAAACTAATGAAACATTTCACTGGATGTAAAGTACATCTATAACTGATTGTCTTTTGGAGTCAAGATGGCCACCACTGGTAACTGACCTTAGAAGACCTAAAGGGGCTATAATTCTGTCAGTGTTTGATATATTGAGCTAAAAGTTGGAGTGGTAGTAGCTGAGAGTCATCCCCAAAATGTAATCTGAGTTTAAACAGATTACACAAAACAGTAGCTTTAAATTAGGCCAAAAAAGTAGCCTGGTTGTTAACAAAATACCAAATGAACTTCTGAGAATACTGGAAATGATCACTGGCTGTACTCCCACAGCTGATTGATGTTTGGAGGTAATCCATATCAAGACGAGCCGCCACAACTGACCGAACTCAGCCAACACAAACATTTCCATAAATCGTATTTCTTAATTGACCTTTTAGGCTAAAATGTGCTGTGACTGTAAGTGAGTGACTCACAACACATGGAGTGCTAACAGATCCCAGGAGTCGTTGCAATATAGTGTCACATTGTGCATCTTTTTTAAGACTTCACCAAAAAGGCTATTTCTAAACATGTGATGTTTGTTGCTTCTAAACACAGGATGAGTAAAAGTTTAAAACTCTGGCCTGAAAGGCAGCAGATGATACGCAGTCTTTAAAGGAATCTAGGTCTTTACTTTTGACATAATTAAGCAGATGAGTAAATTCTGCATCTGTGATGGGTGGTTTTTTTTTTTTACTAATCCTGGTGCACAGATCCTGTGATGGTGCAGCGACTTTCTATCTTTGCCTGATTCTGCTTTTGTCCTGATCACAGTCCTACATAATATTTAAATGTCATGCACAAACACTGTCTGCAGAAACCATCTGCACAACATTAGATCTAACAAAGCTTTGCACCTCCTCGAACTTACAGTTTTTCTCCGACACCTATTTGTCATAAAGGACGAATACATTTTGTGCATCGCCTCATCAACAGAGCGTAGTTACTGCCTAGGGATGCTGAAGAGAAATATTTAAATAGATTACAGCAAGACCATGTCAGTGAAGCAAACTTAACCTATTTTATATAAAGTCCTGGGAAAATCAAGGAGTAAATATTTGTAATCGTTTACAAATCTGCAAGTTTTTCTTGTTTGCTCTACAGAAATTCAGGCTCCATAAGGCAGGAGCTCATGCGTGTTGCTGAGCTTCATGGACTTCTGACAGGTGGTGTCACTCCTACACGCTGCAAGTGGCTCCAGCAGTGCAGATGGTGCGTTGCAAGCTGCCTGCCAGCAGTCTGTGTTTATTCCCTTTAGATACTAACTCTTCAGTTCTGTCTTTGCGTCAGAGCGGGGTTTTTTT